TTATTAAAAAGGTTTTTAATAAAAATAGTTAAAAACGATTATAAAATTTAATACTAAATTAATTATTAAAAAAGCTATAAAAGTTTATTCTCGAGCCTAGTTTAAAACTATACTATATATAAATCTCGTCCTTTAACTAAATAAAATTAAATAGTCTTTTTATTTAAATATATTAAATATTTAGTATATCCTATATATTCTTAGCTTAGTTAAATATATTATATATTTAAAATATCCTTATCTCTTATTATTACGTAACTTATATTATAATTCTTTTATTTTTAGGGTTTTTTTAATATTCCGTCCCGTCTTATATATATAATATACTATAGCCGCTAGGTACTAGTGGGGCACGCCCTAGTTTTATATTAAGTCGTAATAAGATTAATATTAAAGTTTATTTTATTTATAACTATATTAAATTCTTTTTAAGTAATTATAAATAAATTTAAGTTATTCGGGGCGTACTTTTACTTAAGAATTTTAATTATTATATAAAATAAATAGTTAAGTAAATTAATAAGTTCTTTTTTTATATTTTTTAAAATATCCTAAGTAATAAAGTTAATAATTTAGTGGTTTATTAACTTATATAATCTCTTTTTTTATAACTAAAAAATTATTTTAAATACTATTTACTAAATAAAAAAGGTATATTTTTTAAAAAAACGTACTTAATTAGCTATAATTAGCTTAGGTTTTATAAAAAAAAAAGCTATTTTATAAGGCCGTTTTATTATATTAAATCGTCCTTAATATTATTTTCTAAAGCTTTTTATTAAATATAATAATCGAGTTATTAATTATACTTAGTTATAGCCGCTTTATAAGCTTATTTTTAAGTAGTATTTCGTATTTTAATATATTTTTTAATAAATAAAATAAACTTAATAAAAAATAAAAGATTTAAAAATAACTTTGTATTATTTAAGTTAAGTAGGTCCTAAATATTTTTTAAGTAGGCCTTTATTTATAGAGCGAAGTATTATTTTGGTTAGTTTTATTAGTAATTAAATTTATACTTAATTACTTTAAAAACCTTTTTAAAAAACATAATTATTTAAAAATAGGCTTTATAAATATAATAAAAATTAAAATTAAATATAAAAAAATATAATAAATCGTAGTTCTTAAAAAATAACTTTTTAATAAAGGTTTAGTAATCTAAGTTAAAACTAAGTTTATAATTATTATATAGTTATAAATAGGGGTATTAATATTAAATATAAAAAATAGTTATTTATTAAAAATAAGAAATAAGTACGAGGTTTACTTTAAAATAAAGAATATAAGTAAGTATAGACCTCGGGTAATTATATAACTAAGGTTATATGACATGTAGTAAGGCTATGGATGGTTGAAGCTATCACGACAACCTTCATTTTATATATTTAATAATTGCCTTCTTAAATGCGCATTGGCTGAATTCATTTTTAAGACGCCGGTATTTGTCTCATACCTACCCTAATTGTTGATCCTATCTCAAAGATAAACACGGATCCAATCCACTCACTGTTGTGTATGTCCTGTCGCTTGCTTTATTAAAAGAGTTGAACTCAATTGGCTTCGAGGTAGCGGCATTGTTTCCCGATGTCGTGAGAGCTATCTCACGGCAAGATGGTCAGATTGGCCATCGACCCTCCCCTGGTAGCTTTTGGCAACAGGGTGAGAACGGATTAAGTGATCCTGCAGACTTCTCAGCATGACGGTGTATTTCAAAGTGCAGGGCGAGAAATGAGGAATGGCTGGTTTCCATCACTTTGTGTAGTTTCCAAACCGTTAAGTATTGAATTACTAAAGGCTATGGAAACATTTATCAATGAAGCAATACCAGTAGAAGGCAGACTTTTGATACATGTGTGGACGAAGGGCACTGAAAGCGCTCAATACAGAAATGTAGTACGCTACATGGCCATGCACCGAGTCGAAAGGCCCATGAATCACGCTACTTCAGATCATCTACATGTTGGCTTCCGTCCGCTCTCTGCTACTCCCCCTTCCATTGACTTGCAGGTTGTTTCTGTGTTTGGTGACTAAGGATTAGCAGTTGTTGTAATGGAGGAATCCAATCGCACGGACTCGCAGGTGTGAACCAACGGTCCCATTTGCGACCTGTTTTGTACGTACCGATGCGGCTATTCCCCGTGCGTAGTGGGGGATCCGGGGGTGTGGGTAGCGTGCTCGCCAGATAGGACCCCTGCAACGGTGCACTAAAGTTTGGCGTCGTCAAGGGCCACATCGGCAACCCGCTTCTCATCCGTGTTAGTCGGATACTGGGTCCCGACACCTGACAGCGGCGCGAACCCAGAGACAGTGGGCCGGACACCGGGATCGGCACCAATGCTGCCACCCTGGCTGAGAAGTAGCTGAGTGACATGATCGACAACTCTCTCATTTTTTCTCAGGCGGTCCTGTTGTCTGGACTTCTTCCCAATGCTCTCAGGCTTCGGACTGTGGAACGCTTGGTCCGAAAGGAAATGTTGAACCCGTAAGAGCTCCTCCACCCGTTCATGTTGAGGTGAGCTGCGATCCATCGAATGTCCACTGGTTCAGAAATCGTCTCTGAGTCTCGTATAAGATTTTGTCTAAGAAGCGTTGACAGATTCAAGAGAAGGCCAACCGCAAACGTACGGTACGGAGAAAATTCTATAACAGTTCCCGACTTTGTGAATGATCCTGAGCCTTTATGAAGCAGAGAAGAGCAAAAGTGTTTGTGATTTGTAGGAGGTCTATCCGTAGACTGACTTGAATGAGGTTGATAGTCTTGGCTCAAGATAGTGGATGGGCTGTCGATGTGACTGGATGTATCGCGTGATAAAAGTTGAGGATAGTGTATGTTAGGAGGAAAATACGAAGCAAGTGTAAACGACGGGCAAATTGATTGCAGCGCTGTATATCAGCCGAGCCGCTAGGGTCCTCATGGACAGAACGGGCAGTTGACTCTAATGAATTTTCGTTTCCCTCTGAATGGTTTTCTGGCGAAGGAGCGGAGGACATGCTTTTTAAACATTTGATGCGTATCTCCAATCTTGTGATTGAGTGGGCAAAGTCAGGCGAGAGAATTTCCGGACAAAAAGATCCAAAGAGCATCGGGCTGCCGGGCACGTCACTAAAGGCAGTCAGTATGTGCATAAGAAGGGTCTTGGCATCCTGGCATTGCCTTGGCGTTTGGTCGAATCACCAACATTGTGGGTGAGACTCGTCGCCTTCTGTACATCAGTCAAATTGAGCAACAAGCTAACTTTTGCACAATATATCCGGCCAGTCCTTCTACGACTCATCTTACCATTATTAGTACTCTACATTCAAAGTTTTGGATTGGGTTTTTAAATCATATTGCACTGCTTCGGCCAAAGTCTTTTTCAAAAGAAATTGAATCGAAATACCTGCTGTAGACAGGGAACTGAAAAAAAGAGCGGTTGTGGGTGTATGGGTACCTCTGATGAGAAGACAACGAGGCGCCCACCCATTTTCGGCAAGTTACACTGTTGCAGCCACATGTCTCCTACTCGGTAGACCCACGGCATGTATCATGCAGGTCGCCCAATCTGCCAGTTCTGAGTGGCGGCCCATCAACCAGGGGTAGATTCTGGCCCGTGGGTTACGGATCGCACGGGCCTTACGTCCCAAGCTGTGGATATCCCAGCTTGTTCTTATTCCCTGATCTGGTCTGGATCTCGGCTGAGAGATAGATGACAAGTTTATGCAGTAGAGGAATTTCCCTATTGCATTACTTCCTCCAGACGCTCTCATCGCTCTCCTGGCTTCTCAGCCTCGTATTGGGTCAAGGGCTTAATGCACTCATGCTCGGCCCACGGTCTGCGTGCCCTCGAAACTCAGGCTGTTGATGTTGGTGACACAGCCGCGACCCCAAAAGCAGGAGTACAATCATTGGTTCCAACTTCTGCTGCCCGAAAATGAGGGTAAAGCAAACAAGAGTAGAATTGATCAAAAAATAAAAAAGTTTATCGGGACGTGAGATCGCCAAGACGCGAGCCATGTCTGTTTAAACTGGTGCACAAGACAATGCATGGCAACAAAAGTAAGAGCAAGTAGCTTGAAACAGGTAAGTGTGATTTAATGGCCGACTAGAAGAATGCCATCGACTCCAATCAAGTCTTTTCCCCCATAAGCAATCTTTCCAGATCAGTACCCTGTGACCACACCGCACTACTCTGCGGTGTCTGCCCGCTGCGCCGCGCATCCAACGGGCTTCCACTCGACCCACCCCACCAGGTAGATTTCTTTAGATAAAAGCCTTAGACCGCTTGTTCGGGAATCGTCCTTTACAAAAGCAAGAGTGAAGACAGAGACAGACAAGGTGACAAGATACTGGTCGATTATCGCCTCCGGCCTATTCGGCGTTTCCTGCTCTCAGACAAAACTTGAAATGTTGAATCCCGCTGGGTAAGATTACCTGAGGCTTTTCACTTCAGAACATACGCAAGCGCGAGAGTCATTCTGTTTTCCTCGTGTCACATAGAATTTTACGTGGAATAGGCAGAATGTTGGCCTCGTCAAGACCCACCTATCGACACTGCTCATTCAGCCTTCGTATGGTATTGCATGCTTGTATTAGCAGACGAGCCTAAAGACACCGTCATTTCTACATCAATCAATGTCTCAGGAGCGTGTTAGTTCGATAAGAGGTCGAAAGTGGACGGTCGGTTGCAGTACTTTTTATATTTCGAGCCCAATTTATTCCCTTACTGTATTAATCAGGGTCACCGGAAGCAAACAAAATTGAAAAGAAAAACGTCTCTAGGACCTCTGTTAATGTAAAGTATGCTTTCTAAAAGGGATTGAACGATATAAACAGAGCCTCACTTGAAGCGACATAAATAGCATTGAGTCGTAAGTGGAGAACATCTTCAATAAGTTACAGAGTAAAGCTAAGTCAGAAGAGACTTTAAATACTTTCGACCAAATCCGCCAATACTTCTTTCCTCCATCTGAAAAAGATACCCGCATGCGCATCATCTTTGATTAGAAGGCTTGCATTACTTCCCAACCGCTTGGCAATCTGTGTTCCGTGATTCACAGGGACAAACGTATCATGTTTACCATACCAGAGCCGCACAGGCAAATCAGACCGAATGTCCTCAACACGAAATCCAAACTCGGTACCAATAAGGTGACCATCATTGGACACGCCATCAATCCCCTGAGCATAGTACTGTCGACTTGCCATGACCATTCGACCCACAATTTCTCTGTCCGTCCAGATCTCCGCTTCTTGCATTGGGAACGTTGCCTTCTTCTTCTCCGCGTCTTGGAGCTGTCGTTCGAGTCTCTCCTCGTCCGAAAGATGAAAGCGCCCTTGCTGATGGAAGAACCATCCGGCGACTCGAGGGACGTAGCGCCATCCGTAGTTGAAACCGATCCAGTGGAACCATCCGGCTCCGCTCATGCCAATGTCGGGCGGCCCGATACCGCAGACGATGGATACGCATTTGAGCTTCTCGCGAGGCATTGAGATTGCGCAGGCTAGTGCGTAGGGGCCGCCTCCAGACACGCCCTATCAGGTATTAGCAGCCTAAGGTAGTCATAGTCATATGATAGTGGGCTTTCCAACATACTAGAACCCCATATTCCTTCAGCTTCAAATGTGTCGCAAGGTGTTCCAAGTCTTTAGGATGATCGAGTAGTGTTCGCCCGGGTTGAGGAGTGCTCAGTCCCATTCCCGGACGGTCTGTCGCAATGATACGAGCTCCGACATCCAAGGCTGCTTCATGAAGGTGGCCAGCTTCGACGCGGGAGCCTGGAAGGCCGTGGCAGTAGAAGATCGGTTTACCCGTCGCGAGTCCAAACTGTGAATAACCAAGTTTTCGGCCATCTGCCAGCGTGAGAGTATCAGAAGTATCCGGCTCTGGAACCAATCTGGAACTCAAAGGTCTAGGTAATGAGTCCGCCGTGTTAGCGCCTGTGTTACTGTTCCTGAGCAGCAGTGACTTGATGTATGATATTGACATTATGGTGGATGCATGTGTACAGCGCTAGCGCCTCGAGGGTTCTCCAAATATGAACACTGCGGATGGAGTCGGTATTTATATAACTTTCGCCCAAAATCATAGTGCTTATGTCGGTCCGGAATCATGCGGCGTGGGTATGGAGATCGCGAATGATTTGGTCGCATCGGGCTAGGCTCCCGAAAGTGCCCGATTATGTGCACGGGGCTCAGACATTGGTAGCTCAGCTTCGAGGCGTACGTCGACCCGGTGTTGTAAGCACACGTGAGCCTGTGAGTCACCAGCTCAAATGCGTGAGATATTCCGTCCGGAAACCAATATCCCTCGTTGGATTCGGGAAGAATGAGCATGAATCAGGGTTTGATGCAACATGCGGTAAGTGGACCTTAGATGGCGATGGGGTAGTGGGTACCAAGCCCCACCGATCCCTTCCAAGGATACCATGAACTAATTTAAAGTTCACTGGACTAAAACGGGTCCCTGCCGAGCCAAATTCGACGTCGTTATCCGTGGAATTTGTCCTTCGTGATAGGCATTATATGTGACAGGTAAGGGAAGGAAAAAATAGGAAGTGTACCAAGGAAGACGTTGAAATTATGAAGGATCACTTCTCACGAATTCCACGTCTACCATATAGGAAGGGCTTTCAGGGTAACAGCACGGGGTCGGTTGTTGTCAGCTAGTCCTTATTCTCAGTTATAACAAATAAGCCATTGGGGGTAAACCTGTCGCACTGCAAGCTCTAACTATAGTCTATGAATCTAGTCAGGCTTTGAATATTGGCACCCGAGTCCCAAAAGGTCTGCTTGTGGAAGAGTGCAGCTACCTTCCTCCGTAGTAATAGAATTGATAATGCCGTGCAATCGCGCCAATATCTCTTCTATCTCTTTGGCAATTCTCTCTTGACGCGCTACAAGACTCTCAAAGATGCTCGTGCACATCAATGGAATGTCTTTCGTAGCATTACCCCCGGTTCTTGGGTTGAAGAAGAACTCTATTCTAGATAATGCTTCCATCTTCCTCTTTCGTATTCGATCCCGCCGTTTGTGAGCTCTGATATTGACGCAGTCATTAGCATTAGCAACGGATCAAAGATCAGATAGAATATATTGTACTCGAGAGCCAAGCTCGTGAAGGCATATGAGCCCACGAGTAAGTCTTACCTCTGAATACTGCGTTCTTCCATTGGATGGTAGGATTTTCCGAAAGTTTCTTCTCCAATGATGAAATATCGATGCTAAGATGGGATTTTGGGAGCGCTTAACTAGAGCAGAAGTGTCGCGTGGAGATTGAGAAGACCATCGCGCTTGTGGCAGAGGGAATACCAGCTTTTTGGAGAAAACGTAAGAAGTAGCATTTGCTCTTGAACAGTAAACATCTAAAATAAAAATCGAGGGACATGCGGAGCCAGTGAGTCTCGTCAATAGGCAGTGGTTGCTGGAAGTATTCTTAGCTAGACCTTGCCTGAGCCTTGATTCTGGGCCAAAATAGGTAAATCAGTGTAGCCTCACCGGGCAAATTAGCACAACCGTCGTTGCGTGAAACAGTCTTACCCTTGATCGGCAAGGAACGAGTCATTGAATTTGCAGGCTTCTGAGGTCAGAATGCTAGCGTTACTCGCAAGCATTACGTGTTTTCAGCTGGACCGATCCCCAGGGCTCTGGGCCCAGCCATTCTCATCGATGTCTTAGGAGGACCAGGCTACCTGTGGTAAGGCTGATGAGTACACAGTCAATGCTCCTATCGTGCGTAATGCCTGTCTCAACCAAAATCCCAACAAGAAGGACTTTGGTGTGGGTGCTTTGGTGTCAGAGTCAATATAGATTTGCAGCAGAAGCACTGCAATAGCGATGTGAAATCGATTCATCCAGTGATGTCCTCCATGACTCGGAGTCTCGGACTTGAGACAACGGATATTCATGTCTTTGCTTGAAAAGTAGCTACAGCCACGGATCCCGATTCAAGAGTAAGCCCGGCCAATTTCAGCCCTGTGAACTTTTGTTGTGTGCCGTGTCGCGTGCAAGCTTCCGTGAAAGCGCATTGGATTGGATAGCAGAAATTAGGAACCGAAATGAATCTACATAATTCCAGATTCAAGAGGGCAATACGTTGCAGGTCAGATGGCATGTGCAGAGACTAATGCAGTCCCCCCATCATAGCTTCCAAGGTCTTCGACGCCAATTGCCTTGATGGCTGCATATGAGGGTTAATTAAGTCATGCAAGGTCGTAAAGTAGCATACTGGGTACTTGGTTGTCAGCGTCATTGGTTTTGCATGAAGCCAAGCGGTAATACGTTGTACATACCCAGGGCACAGGTGCTGAGACAAATGTCAGACCTTGCTAAATGAAGATGAGGTACTTGGCATGCTATGCCCCTGATGCGGATTAATTGATTTTATTCTTTCAAGCCTTCTTCGGAACTTCCGAAGCCTCTAGTCTTGAACGGAATGGCATCCTCGGTCGATTTTCAGTCAGGGATGTGGAGGGGAGTGAGACTGTAAGCACTGTTCTATCGTGTACTACCATTCTGAGCTTTCAAGATCATTTTGAACACTGTTTTATCTTATCGGGAATCTCAGCTGCGCTGGCATGATATGGATGTGTCGTACCTTAACATCAAAGCAGAACTTGCACCTTACGGGCCTATGAAAGTCTCCAACTGCTCGGCCCGGAACGCGGGTCACCGCATGGGGCAGAATGACCCCACGTCGGGCCGGGACAGCGCCAGGGTGCGGTGAGTGGGCCCAGTGGAGAGTGCTAGGATTGCTCAAGGTACGGTACCCGCGATACCTCACCTTAGGATGCAACGCTTCAGTGCCTTTGTAAACGAATCAACTTTGAACTGAGATACTATTACGCGACAATGTAGAAGTGAAGACAAAGGTACAAATCAAACATCTAGCATTAAAGCCGCACCTGGCGCCGGTTGTTGCGCTCTCTCCCGCACATGACCATTGAACCTTCTACGCCATCAATCCCCAGACAAGCGGTTCTGGCCCAATTTCGACCTTGACTCCTTAACAGGGCCAGTGCCTGCCTCATTCAGTCTCAACCCTGAGTAAATGTAGAGAAAGTACAACCTTCTTTGTAAACGTCATCGCTGATTGGGCAAGCTTTCCAGATCGACCATAGCTCGGTTGCACTGATACTTTGTACCTTGTTCCTAACTGAAGCGAGAAAGAACTCTTACCGTTTCGCAGGCGACCTGCTGTCAGACCTCGGGGCAGCCTCCCTCCACGTGCCTTCCCACCTGTGAAAGCACGTTCTACCTTAGCAAGCCATGTGGCTTTCCAACGTTCACGTCGTCAAACGGAAACTTTCCATCTGCTTCTGGCAACGACATTGACGCAAAGAGCGCAGCCCCAATATCGAGTACAGCCAAGGGATCGTCGCTTGCTTCAGAAACCTTCGATATTCAATGCGTCATTTTGCTATTTGCTGAAAGTTTGTGTCGACTTTAATCATAGCGTCGCGCGCACGAGCTTCGTACTCTCCGGCCCTGTTAGGCACGCTCTGGCTGAGCCTCCTGTACAAGCTGGGATCCGTCTTAACAAATTCAGTGACACGGGACTGAGACTGTGCGGCTTGATCCGCCGTAGTCACCGTCGCTCTAAAGATGGGTTAGACTTCGGGGAACAGCGGAAAAGGTAAGACACGGTAACGAACCTTGTCGCCGAATCGCCATTGACAAGGACGGATACGTCTGAGGCAGTCATGCTGCAGCCACAAAGGTATTCTATGACAAGAGAGAGAGTGATTGGAAACGAATCGTCTCACTAGAAGTAATCCGAAAGTAATCTGATCGCTAATTTGCAGTTGCAGATGACCCAGTGTCAATGTTCTGATTGAGGGGGAGAAAGCCATGGAGTTCACTGAAGGGTCGCACGTACTTATGGCTGACGGCTGATCGTGAGGCCAGGGCCAACGCACTCAGTCACCCATCGTACTATGGAGCGTGGGTCCAAAAGGAAGAGCTCTACAGTCACACCAGGGCCTCAATACCACGACAGAGAGGCCAAAGGCCTTCGCAGTAGCCTCAAGTATGTCAGTGCTGTGGACCTAGTCCCAATACCGAGCGTGGGACTAATCCCATTGGATGGATTGCCAAGTCGATCAACAACACGCCCAAGGCCATGTATGGGAAGAAGGGACAAGATCCCCGGGGTCATTTCGATTCGAAAAGGAGTCGTACTGAGACTCGTTGGTTTCACCGGCCCTGCATCTCTGAGGGACCGCTTAGGATCGTGGGAGGGTGAACTCGGACCATCGCTTCACCCACCAGTCCGTCGACCATTTTAGCCTCACATGACAAGACTGGCTGCAAGTTGCCTGCGGATGCCTTATGACCAGTTCATTGCCGTGGAGTTTCCAGCTACTTGGCGCCAACCTGTTCGGGCGGCTTGAATGCGATTGGCAATGTATCCGTCAAGCTTCCAGCCTTCCCCGCGGAAGCAAGGCATGCATCCGGCACCAGCATGCCGGACACTCGACAACCCACTGAGGTGCCATTCTCTCTCAGATAATTACCCAGGTCCCGCGGTCACATAAACCATGCTCCCCTAACGTGCCAACTCAATCGAGTCTGGCTTAGCGGTCCACAAGGAACTCTGCGCCAGTGGAACGGCCCATGCCGGGGCCATATTGTTTTGCCCCGGGACGCTGTCGCCACACATACACTTGCCTATCTCGGTGTTGCGGAGGTAAAAGAACAGCTTTATCAGTTGACTCCGGGGATGTACGAATCGGATTTTGGACAAAAACCAACCCCATACTCAGGCCGTCTTGCGCTGCATCCGCGTTGGACGGGTGCGTCCCTATTGGCGAGCCAAGGATGACTACCTTTCCGCCGACCCCCTTTTGCAATGGGAGATCTCGAAACACCGCCTCCTTCGAACATGAGGCCCTGCTTCCGCCTCTCGATCGACAAGCTGGATATCGCATCGTGAGTACCACATCGAGCTGTATCACACCTCCTAGTACATGTATACTACGAACAAGCGACAGAAGGAGGAAGAGTCAGGCCTCCTAGGAGTAATGACGATTTTCGGGTGGTGCAAATCGGCACCCCATACTCATTACAGACCTCGCCCTGTTTGCGCCCTTGAGAGGGTTGGGCGCATGGAGCGATGTGCCACCGCCGGCTGCTGCAACCAAATTCCCCGTGTCCCACCCAAGAGCCTGAGACGACGCCTATGTCTTTTAAAATCGAGCTATATCGGAAATTTTGGGTGCGACAAACCGGAGAGACCTTTGGTGAGCCAGGTCCGGCCCTGAAGCCGGGCGCGAAAGGCTGACTAGCGATTCGGAGGCTTTGAGCCTTTGGAGTTGGCTTAAGCATTTAGGCTTCATCCGTTCCCGCGCCATCAAAGCTATGGTCTCACGTCATGACGTCGAGCGTGACAAGCACTACCCCTCATTGACTTCAGATGACAGAAAGTGCTTGGGCCCCCCACACACATCCGAAATATTTTGAGTCGCTCGTCAAGTCGTCCCCACGTCGTTTGCCATCGCACCTTGCACGGTGAGAGGTCGCCTGTCGGTGTAGCAGCATTCTTTTCGCTGGTGTGGCACAGCTTTGTGCATGTTGCACCTATTCGACTGTAACAAGATGATGCGCTTCAGGCTTTGTGCTCGGCCACGTTTCCTCGCAGGGGTACGGCCGTACTAAATTTTTGAAAGGACCGAGCTGCATATAAGATGATAAGTTCATTTCACAATATCAGTTTTCAGATCAGGTCATGCCTCCAACATGCCGCTTCACAATGATCTCCCCGCAAACACACTCATCAGTGGTCCCTACTAGAAGCCTCGCATCAATCCAGGCAAGTTTTGGCGAAAGAGGGCTCGGCGGCGCGTGCAGTAGTCGCCGCTACCTTCCAAGGGTAAAGCAAATGAAGTTTGTGAATTCTTCTGTTCGCTTATGAGCATCAATATGTACAAGAATTGGGAAAGAATTCACCACCCAAAACTGGTCCGGCCAGGCCCCATGTCACCGGTGACTATCGCTAGCGCTCTCGGTCAAGGTGTGCGTATCCGCATCGGGAACCTTGCAGACGGTTAGCTGGAGCCTGGAGGTGAAGTTCCGACGATGCGCTGTAGACAAAAATGTCATTCTGGGCCCCTGGCTTGAAGCCCATTCTGGCGTTGTACCCGGGGCTGTAACCGATATCCGGCACATTGTTTCCTTCGGCTTCTGCGAGAACGTCAGCATTTGGACTCTACGAAAGGGGTTCCATCACCATTAGACAACTCACGATTTCAAGCAATCATTTGCTTCGGTCCAGCGACACACTTTTTGGTATCGTCTCGGCAAGCGACGGGCGGCTTAGCGATACCCAGTTTCTTCGTGGACACGGCGCTGGTAACATTGCATTTGAAGTTTTGCATGTACCTTTTTGGCTTGTCAGTATCTTCCCCTACGATCATGTCTGGTCACGATGACTTACATGTTTGGCTGGCCACCTTCGATTCACGAGTGAGTCAAATGCGCCAAGGGGGGCCAGAAGCGAGGGTGATCTTACATCCATCTGGAATCCACAGCCAGGCGCAGTAGCACCCTCCCACCGGGCAGGCAGGCAAGTCCGGAACTTGGTACGAAGTTACGCGTTTCCAAGGTGTGCTGTTTTCGACCGTAGTCAGTTGCTGACCTTTTTCATCCAACAGGCCCAACCTACTGCTCGACAACCGAAAAGACGACAAGGTTCTCCATTGTCACCTTTTTGATATCTGACTGATAGCTGATGGCGAATGCTGTCCCGGCCGTGGTGGTATAGTTTTGCGTGTGCATCGCCCCTCCCTTCCCGTCCGGGTTATCGACGAGACACTTGCCTGGCCCAGGCGCGTGCCAGTCTTCCGGATGTTCGCTGCAGTCCGGCCACTGCGTCGCGGTCTTGCCGCCGTAAGAAAGGCTCGTGCAGCCGCGGTTGGCTCCGAGATCGACGGTGAACTTACCCCGGGCGGGGAGGCTGAGAAACTGGCCCGCTGGAGGGGGCACCTTGTCGCATCCGCGGTCGGCTTGCATCCACCACTTGGCTTTCGGGAGTTGATAGAGCGGGTTGACTACCAGGTTGGTGTTGGAATCGTCTACTGCGGAATTGTTCCCGCCCTTTTATCGGCTTCTTTAGCTTTATGATAACCACGACGGACGATGGCTTATGACCATAAGGAACTCACTCGGCAATACATGCCATCGGCCCAAGCAGCAATATGCCCCTCAACGATACCGGTAGCGACCAGCACCAAACCAAGGCTAAGCGAGATCTTCATCGTCCCTTTATGGGTTCTTGATGATGACTATACGTTGGCAACAGTCAACTAGGAATATTGTGCATAAGATCAGGAAAAGGAGCGGATGGAGAGCAGCTGCCTCGAAGAAAAGGACTAGACCTCTGGGGCTTGATTCGAGAAGAAGGACAAGTAATGAGCGATATGGCCAAGCTGCCCAAGACGAGAGAAACTATTAGGGCTATTCTGGAAGCGTTGAACAGCCTCTTATAAACATCGGAAGTAAGGGGGCGCCTGGGGGTGGTCGAGATTAAGGACGCCGTGGCGTTGACACTGTCTGTGCAGATCAATAAAATACCCCATATCGCGTGTCTGGGCGTCTGACACCTTTCTCGCTCTGTATCTTAATATTACGCTACGATGAATCATGGCAGGCAGCAGCATAAACCATGAACCGCTCCTACCTCCCTCCCTTCCCACCTCACCATAGCTCCTACCTTCCTGCTCTCTTTCCGCCGAAGGCCCTCCCTACCAGGTACCTACCTACCTAAGGGACCTATTCACCTCATTCTGTCACCAGCGCCCCTCCGGCCCATTTGGCCGGGTGGTTTCAACTCTGACGCAGGGCGTTTAAAACAAATACGCCAATGAAGCCAGTGCTGGTCCGAGGGGCGCGCTGTTCGAACCTGGACAGGGGCGTGAATTGTCGGGCAAGTTATCACCAGCCCCACCTTTCTTTTTTTCTCTTTTTTTTCTTTTGCGGACGTTTTTCATAGAAGTGGTTTTGAGACCTGGTTAGTTCATTTATGAGAGACGTTGAAGAGCGGAACTCCGCTGCTAGGATCGGCTTCACTTAGATCCACGGCCGGTAATATGTAACACCGTTGGGAAGCTCGAGCGGTTGTGAACATGCAAAACCGTTTAATCATTAACCAGGGGCACTTGATCTCTTTACTACATACTTCCATCAGACACTACGAGATGCGGGAATGAAAGGCCATACAGCAACGCTGGGGAACGCGATCGCGGGGTCGAGATGAGATTGACGTCGTTTCAAGACACGCACTTGTGGCGCTCTAAATTCAATGAACAACATTTTTTTTTTCGAAGCGACTAGCGATCCTCTGACTAAAGCCACGCCAACCCACAAAATAAGGGCAGAAAAAAAAACTAAAAAAACAACGCTCCATCCCAAAGTCTCGGGACCGGACGACGGCTGTGGCTGCACCGTTGTCCACCCGTCATCCGTGCAGACCCACAGACGGGGGGGGGGGGGGCAAACGGCGCCGGTAGATACTCACATGTCAACGGCCCGCTCCCGATAATGGCAGAGGCTTCCCGGTGGACGCGGGCGACCAGGCGTACCATGAGATCTCCAGACCCGGCTCTCCCGGACGCGAGGCACCCACAAGAGATCTAGGCAAATCAAAGATCCTGTCGTATCCCGACTCGTGCATTCAGCCAGACATGGATGTTGCGCTTCCTGCCAGCGTCAGCGGCTCTGCTTTGTCAGAACTTGGAGCGAATCATCATCCTGCGGTCGGTCATTTTGATTGTGCCCGATTCAAATCGTGCCGAGGAGCAGCAGATAGATCTACACGCTCCCCCTGAAACCAAGATCGGAACAAATCAAAAGTGCCGGGATTGTTTTTCGATTGGCAAAGTGCCGGTTCGCCTAAGTCTTGAAAGACCAACCGTGAAAGCGCACTGGCTGGGTAAATTCCAAACGGCTGCGTCTCGGGCCTAATATTCAGCTAGGAAGAATACCATGCAGGCTAAAGGCCACGAACGCGTTTTCGGACTCATAACAATGTCTCTGAACCTCTCATTCCTGAGAGCGTGAATGGCCAGCGATGTCATCGGCCCTTGTTCGGCCGAGTTCTCCTCGCCCTGTAGGGCGTGCAGGGATAGCGTGCTCCAGGTAGGCGGCCCACTAGCAATTAGCATCGTCGCGGGGTTCAGTGGAGAAAATTGTGCAAGGTCTGGGTACCTACCTTGTAAAACGCCAATGCCAATCCCCATCTTCCAGCCTAGGATGCCTGCCCACTGCCCACTCTTCGTAGTGGCAGGAAAGTCGTGGGGGCACAGAAGTTCTAGGATGGAGCAAAGCTGAATACTGGTGCGGTACTTGTTTGAAGTGGTTGGTAGATCGATAAGCACCACGCAAATGTGCGAGACCTTGACTTGACCAAACAAAAGCAAAGTTTGGCTGGGGTCCAGAACTAGGATGTCGAAAATGGGCCGCGCGTGCCCTTCCGCTCGGCTTCGCGGATAGCTGGCCAATGACCCACGGCTCCTCTTGGCAAGAGCCTTATTTCGTGGACTTGGCAGTTGAGACGCGCGTGTCTTTCGTGGACACTCGCGCGCTTTGCGTCACCAATGTCCAAGGAACTTCGTATCGGTCCTTTTTCCGCCTTTGCGTAATGATGAGTCTTCGTTGGCGCGGCGGTCTTTGTAAGCGAGAGACAAGAGCAGAGTCGATACGAAGGCCGTCTGTTTGTGCGGTGCCTTCCCCGATCGCGAATTGCACTTCACGGGTCGTCATGGGCTCCGGGTCTTGGAGTCGGTCGACTCGTGAGGGGCCCAGACAGAATCTTAGAAAGAGGGGGGTACTGAGTCTATTTGCAGATAAAAAAATGTTCCAAGCATTTTAAACATGACATTCTACCAAGCCTTCGATATGCCTTTGGCGAACGCTGAATATTGATACATCCTTCTCTGATTACATAATGATAGGGAGACTGAGGCCCATGATTTGTTCTCTCTAATCTTGACAAAAGAAGGAACGAGGAACGACATTATTACAGGGGCCATGTGAAAAGGCAACGAGATTGGGCCAGCCAAAAAGAGATATGTTAACAGGTTGTAGTGTACATGGGATCTGTGTAGGGTGGCGGTGTATGCTTGAGCGCACGAGTGTTTCGGTGTGGTCGTTCATGGCAGTTTCCCGGAGTGTTGGCCAAGCTTGTCTTCAAGAGTCTGAGATGTAGATTGTGCTCCGTGAAGGCGGGCAAATAGATTATCTTCGTCGTCCTTCTTGAACCTTTCGAGACGGACGTTTCGCGAGGGTTTTCCGTCGGAAGGATGCTTCTCAGCAGCCTTGCTGCTACTGCCACCAGACGTTAGTCACTGGCTAAAAAGAGTCCCTTCAGGACGATTGGGGTACGGAAGCAGTGTCTTACGAGCTTCCAGCATGGTTATGCTGAGAGGATGTGTGGCTGGCGGGCATGATGACGATGCTGTGTATTTCTAAACGAGACCAGAAGCGTGCAGTAAAGTACAGAGAAGGTGGTGATCGTGGACCGTAATGTCGAAGGGGAAGCTGAGGTGTCGTTCAAAATTAAGACGTAAAGTATTCTGTGGATGGACATGGACGAGATGTCTGGGACTTCTTGGAGGGTAGCGACAGAGTAAATCTCACAGTGTAGGCCATGTGGCGGATGATAGAGTTTAAGTAAATGAAGGTGAAAGTGTTGCTAGAAACAAGAGAGTTGCTGGCGGCCCAGATTTGGACGCCTTCTGGAAGCGGTCAAAAGGGTGTAAAGTACGCGGGGGGGAGATTAATGAGAGATTGGCGAAGGGCGGCGGCGGCCAAGGCGTAGAATGCGGCACTGAGTACCGAGAGATCTGGGTGACGGCTGCTTGGACACGTCGTTCATCTAGAGGAAAGGCAAGGGGAGGTGGGATGGCGGACGACCGTCCGAGATACTTGGCGACTTGCCTGGTACCCAAGAGTCCGTTCTGTGAAAGTGTAGGTATTTTGCTTTGTTGAGTCCGGCATTTGGCCTCGTGCCTGAGTGCCAGAAGAACTTGATTCGGTATTCATTGTGCCTTTTAGCATCTAATTTCCCTGCCTGCAGGATTAGTGGTGGGATAGATTCAGGAACAGAGCCATGTACATTATGGAAGAGGTCAAGCAGTGGCAAATCTGACAGGTGCAATTTCGTAGGATGCATCAGAGTGAGACGCAGGCCTCAATGACTCTAGGAGGCCGGTGAAAGGGTAAAGACATGGTGGAGAGACCTTTGGGGGAAAAGGTGGTGCGGGTGTGACAAAGGTGGTGATGGGAGTGTGAAGAGAGGAGGTAACGCAAAGTTCGGCCGGAAGTGGATGATTTTGCTTGGCAGGTAATTAGGTCGTATCCCGACCCAAGGTGAGGTGTCTGCAGAGCAACAAGAGACCACCCTGGGAAAAGCCCCCAAATTGGACGGGGGATGATCCAAAACTTTTCTCGTCGCGACTGCGACCGAGAAGCTTGCAGGCAGACTACTGCAGGGATTTGCTTATGTCTCGTTTTCCACTTGGAGAAATGTCGCCCTCATGGGCCAGATTGTCTTGAGTTCACGCTCAGTGCATCCTTGAAGGAGAGAACAGGGCGGCCTCGATGAAATGCGGGGAAAAGGGCGACGGTTTTCTGATAGCCTTACACCCGGATGCGTCCTGCTGTGCATCGGGCGCAGACGTGGTGAAGAAGTCCTTCAGTGCGGGAGGCTTGGTGTCAAAGGTGCTCAATGCTGAGAAGCGGTGAGCTTTGAAGAGGCCAATCGTCTATCTCGCGCGCCACACTGCGTAATCGAGGTTGCCGATGAGTAGGAAGGATTGAGAAGGCTGTGGATTGCTTCTGGAAGAACTGGGTGGGAGGGCGTTTGGTGAAGGAGACTGTTCTCCTGCCCCGGCAGCCACTCGTAGAGACCACCGCGGGATGCTTGTCCTCGTCCGTGGGTCCCGGGTAGCAGTGCGGAGCGGGCTGGTCATCGATCAGCGCGCAACCGTCAAGTTGACGGCGGGCGTAGTTGGAGGCAAAGACGGGAGGCAAATGCCGGGTCTGAATAGGACAGGCGATGATAGAGCGAGGTTTGGCGGTCGAATTCGGCCCCTGTAGCTAGCTGGCCAGGGCAGACAGCGTCAGTCATTAGGAAAGAAATACAAAGGAGCGAACAACTCACGATCAGCAGATTAGATTCGAAACAAGCGAAAGGTGCCGTGGTTGGTTGGGGTTAGCCAAGGGAATCAAGGCAGGGTTGTCATTCCGTGTGGTAATCCGTGTCCGTAGCGGCGGAGGCGGCCTGTGGAGAAAGCACGCTACCTTTAAGTGACGGGTGCCAGGCAAATTTGTTGAGATAAGGCCGTGATAGCGTGAGAAAGTGACTTAGCTAGGGCGGGCTGAGAGCTGAGCCCGGTGAAGCCGCGACATGGTGATGATGGAAAGGGCGGAGACGATGCCGGCTGCGATGGAACCATATGAGCGGACGGAAGGCGGTGAGGGCTACCCGTGAGGAGGAAGTACCTTCCGTGTGGCACCCGAGGCAGGAAAGAACAAGATCATCCGCTTCCTCCTACCTGCCTTGCCTTACTCCGAATTTTGGAGTGACGCCGGATACCTCTCTTCCTCTTCCTGACCTGAGGTACCAGATGAATTCGTGTCGAATGGAAAGAGCAGCAGGGTTGGAGAACGGAGGGGATGAGATGGAAGGACCGGGGTGGTGAGTGTTCCATTTTGGGATTCAAGACGTACCTTGGGTCAGATCCGGTAATGGAACGTTCCATCCCTGCTTCTCGGCTGTCTGTCTGAATTCACGCCCACCCATCCATCCCCAATCCCCTGCATCTTCCATTTCTTTTCCAAGGGCCACCCATGTTTTGAGCTTCTATCTTCTCTTCTGGATGGAGTCTTCCCGGCCAAGCTCCCGACGATCATCCTCACCCTAGCCATTTCCATTTCGTACATGAGGTATCCGTACGGATAGATGTGGTCTCGTTAGCACCAAAAGTAGTGTACGTATTTGATTGTTTTTGTGCCTCAGGTACGGACACATATCTCAGACCCAGCAAGACTCGGGACTCGCAATGTCGTAATCTCTTTCACCTTGTCATCTCTTCCCCTGTCAGCTCCTGGACTTTGACACTTAGACTTCCAGGTTGACTCCAGATTCTATCCATACGGCACCTCTCCAAGCACCCCCGGGACCTTTCACACCAAGTTGGAGATGAATCCTGACCGGCAACAGTAAACATCCGAACCCTGTGCGCAACAGGATGCCTTTTATCCCGACACCCTTGACGGCGATGCCACGGCGCCACGTGGCATACAATTTCATTGAGTCCTTGGCTCAATACCTAAGCCCTGTCACCATCGCCTTGTCGACACTACCTTGCCGTAAAAACTAAAAGAGGATCCCCAAAGAAGCCTAGAAGGTATGATGCATGACATCTCGCCCACATCAGCCGTACGCACCACGCTGTAATCCGCCAGATTTTCAGTCCTCTGCCACGGTGCTTGGATGCGTCGTTAGAGTATGCGATGAGCCCCTCCAGCCATCTGAGCCTGGTCTGTCGTCTGAACTTGAATTTTGTGTCAGGAATGCATCGGTTCGTGCAGCCCTAGCGACACGCCCAGGTTGCCCACAACTTGACGATCAAGATACATCTGCAAGATGTTCCTACCTTGCTCATAGCTAACGGTCATTGGCAGAAGATTCACATGAGCTTTTCAAACCGTAATAATCTCAGTCGTCGGATGTCAGACCTACCTTAGTAAGGTTGCTCAACATCAACATGCCCCATACTCTCGTGCATGGGATGAATGGTACCTGTGAAGCACCGTTCGAACCCGAGTAACTGGACCGACGGAATACCGCATCCCGCCGTTATGTAAGCGACCGCAGAAGTTGATCAACTATACAGCAAATGCAAGAGAAACACGAACAAGAATCCAGCGCCGACTCACTCACCAGGCGTACCTGACAACGCTTACTGCAGTCGAACCACCTCCCCAAAGAACCCCGCTGCGAACGTGTCCGCTCGACGCGGGAGACCGACGTACCCCGAAATAATGGTATCCTTCTCTCAATTACCCTCTTCGCCGCGACTGGGATTATTAGATGGTGGCCGCGCATCATGCGGCCGTACCAACACGCCAAACTTTTGCCCACCGGTTCTGCCTGCTCTGCAACCACCATCCCTGACCGGTCCTGGGCTCACCAGCCCATCGAAATATGCCCCCTCCACCTCTTGGCCGCTGTCGAGCTAAATACACAAATTTTACCAATGAAAAGGCCCTACAACTTGAAACACGCCACATCCATGAAGCATGTCCAAAGCCGGCCATGGACATCCTGAAACCCAGTAACCAAGACAGCCTCGTATCTTCCACGCCATCTGGCGGTGAGTGACGAGGAGAAGGTGCCATTTCCACCGGGCACCATCTTTGCAGATCGATAATGCAATCGACCGTTTCCGTATAGGTCGCTTGTTCTTCATGGATCGATAGCGGGCCTCTGTTTTTTCTTTTTCAAATTCTGCACTTTCATTATTGCTTTTTTTTCCTTGACGGCCGTGGGACACGCATGGGTTTGACCGCTGCTTTCCGGGCTTGGGGCAGCCAGCTGCCAGACATTGTGAGGCAAGAGAGGCAAAAGGCATCTTGATCTTTTTGCGGCTGTGTTGGTCATGTTAACGGCACCATTTTCAGTTCTGATCGTGAAATACCACGCCCAGGTCACGACAAGCAGGTATCTGCACGGTTCTCATCGTTTTAAGCCTCAGGAGCTTACCCCTGAACAGCTGCACTTTTTCTCGTGTCACCCTTCAATACAAGGGCAATTGCCGGAGCGATCAAGCAAACATCTCGGTAGAACGACGCGGCCCCTGAGGGAAACCCTCACAGCATGCGCCCGCGGGCCCGCGGGAGTGGCGAGAACGGGTGCGCCGTCTGGCTCCCCTGCTGTGCCGCAATATGCCGACTCGAAGCGGGCGCGCAGGCTCTCTCGACCCCTGGCACCTCAGTCACTTTCACTTGTCGGACTCTTTTCCAGTCTAGATGATTTCGTGAGTGGGTCACTCACAAAGCCACCCAACTGGGACAAGTGCAGCTTACGCCTCGCTTCTATCGTGTTGCAGCAAGTGACATTCTTGCCGCCCCTCCGCGCCTCTTCAGACCGCTATTCTGGACATCGATCCAGAACAGTATGCAAGATCCTGCTGGCAAAACGCCTCGCTGCGCGACACCTTTTGTGTACTTGTGCGTACCTAGTGATTACACATTCGGTTCACCGGCCGATAACATGCCAAGCCAGGCTTCCTCGGAGCCTTGCTAAGGTATCATTGCCGACCTCGACGGATTCTTGTTTCCGCTAGTCCAATTGATGTGAAGCTACTTTCAGTGGCCACTTTGTGACTGATCAGTATGTCCATACGTTCTCAAGGTCAGTTATTCTATGACCTCTTTGATTGTATCGATTCCTTGTGTTCTGGCCAAAGGTCGACGCATCGGTCACGGATCATTTAGCCAACCAATGCTGATCAGAGCTTGATAGTTTCCTTTGTCAGACATCGCGTCTTTGGGCGCACAAAGACGCTGGTACAACACACCCGGACTCAATGTCTTCGTACTTTGTGCTCTAGACACAATGAAACAAGGCCAAGGTACAATGCTCGAGTAGTCTAGATTCTTCGAAGAGAGTCTTCATAAATCCAGAGACTTACCGGTTGCTGCTTCTTCTTCTCTACTCTAAACCAACTCCGACATCAAAAGCCAATAGCCTACATACACTCACACAAACACATCAGGTACAACTCCACTCCCATTCTCTGCTAACGTCATCCACAGAATCAAATTCCAAAACATGCCTTCTAGTGAACTCTTCAGAGACATGCTCGCTCCCCGCGTGCTCGGCAACTTTGATGGCGTCACCTGCGTAGGCGCCAAACGCCTCCTAGCAGGCCTCATCGCCGTCTCAGCCATCTGCATCCTCGCAATCTACCTCGCAGTCCACTTCCGCATCTGCCTCGCCCGCGACAAAAAGTCCTTCCGCTCCCTCGCCGCTGACTTTGACACGCTCGAAAAAGTCCACAAGACGCTCAAGAACCAGCACGAATTCATCCGCGAGGACTGCCGTAACTTGCAGATGACGCTCGACTTTTATATCAAGGAGTACGGTCGACACCCGCGCCATAATCAGTTGCGGTTCGAGCCTGGGCAGGGGAAGCAGACTTCGGGTGTGACCGATGGCGGCTCCGCTTATGGCCATGGACGGTTGCGTGAGGATGAGGATGTCTTTGTGGTTGAAGAGCCTTCGCAGGAGGATCTGAATGGTGGGGTCGAGGAGGGTGATGTCGCGGATGGTGGTGATCGTGTTCCGCGGTTCAGCGAGGAGGAGGAAAAGATGAGGAAGGCAAAGGGGCCGCGTATTCAGGCGATTGCAGCTGGTATGCAGGATGTTCCGCTGACACCTCCCGCTCAGGGACAAGGTACTAGGTAGGTGGGGTCTTGCTTGTATATGTCCGAAACGTATCGCTACTCGTCTGTCGATGATATCTCACAGAAATAAAGTCTTGAAAATATTGAATTATTGATACGTAACACGTTTTTCTAATCCACAGTCGTGACTTAGTCTGCTTCTCGACATGCTCAGATTTACTCTGACAAAGTTCTGACATCCTAGCTATGGCACCTGATTTGCCTTCAAGAACCACCGTGATCGTCTGTACTTACGGCAGCTCTCAACGTCTTGGAAGCCATCACATAAGATGTGCCATTCCTAGGGGGTCCGCTTCCGTTAAATTCCCAATTCCGCTTCAACGTCCCAACTACAAAGAGGTTATGTACTTAAAATCCGCCACATTTTTCTCTCTCGTCACCGATCAGAGGCTCGGTGTTTGTCGTCGCGAAGCCGATGTCAGTATGGTAGCCCATGGTCGAGCTACCACTGATCTTTCTCGCTCATTTCAAAGATCATTTTCCTCTGCTAGTAGCGAGTCTTCCAGTTCTCAGCACGTCGTCTTATTAACGTATCTAGCGATGAATACGTCAGGGAGATAGTGTGGAACAACAAAGTGAAATCTTTGAATAAATGCATGTTGGGGTAGGAGGAAGGGGCTTGCCATAGATGAACCAGTAGCCCGCTTCTGTTAATTCCTCAGACCCATCTGAATTCCCGTCTTTCTTTGCTAGGGGCATGTCTTGAAGTGCTTGGCACGCTATCTCAACTAGTTCAAGGTATCTAGTCACGAATGCGGTAGAGAGAGGCGAGGAACAAAAATTAAGATCGTTATAGACTTCTAGGTTACGGTTGCAACTTGCTGGAGGGTTCCAGTCACCAGACAGGGGAGACAGGGGCAGCACACGGTCTCACTGCGCGATACAAGACCAAGCGCCCCTTGTCCCGCTAGTACTGGCTCCGGCACTCATCTAGCAGCCTTCGAGGTTCTTGATGAACTTGCTTAATATATAGACGGCGCAAACTGAGAACTTGTTCAAATGAGGAAGGGGAAGGCAACACGGATTAATCAAAGCTACGTTCACAGCCTGATTCTAAATCATGCTCAAGATGAAGCCTCGTCTTGCTGATTGTTCTTGGCGAAATCACTAGTGCTGATCATATCATTGATCTCAAAGGGACTATGTACTTGGATGGGCAAGAGGTACTCGGGATGGTTATGAACCACGACGGTAGCAACGCTCTCCAACTCTTGAAGCATTCGCTGACGAACGCAATGCAAGTCGTGGCGGGAATAGCGATAAAGAGATCTCGTAAGATCCTTTCAGTGTTTCGGGCACGTTCAGCACTGTGTGTGGTTGGCCCGACCCTCCCGTCCCAGTTACATAAGTGAAGCCAAGCTACAAGTCGAAGACTTATATTTACGTGCTGTTAGATTGAGCCCTTGACTCTACCTAATATTATACAACGTGCATCTGGGTGCACTTCCACAGATATGGACATAAGGTAGGATCTAATTTCAGGGATTTGTGATGAAAAAAGGCTCCAGAAGTAGGAAATACTGATGCTGCAGATATTCTAGGGTTGTTGAATAATCGCAGCCAAAGAAGAGGTGTTCTTTGATGTAAAGTCACAATGAAAACAGATAACATAATCTTCACTTTCTGTTGAAGAAAGATGTGGTCCGAGCTAGAGCTTTCAGGAACCAAGGTTTCGACAACCTGAACCCCTTCAAAGACCCGGCCATGTTTGAGGTCGAATCCGTGGAAGGAACAAGAGGACAAAGAGCACAAGACTCGAAATGTTTTCTGATACAATGTCGTCTTTCACTTACAGCCAACCCGGTCAGCCTGCAGTCTTGGTCTTCGGAACAAGGCACTTGTGAACTCGGCCTCTTGTTCGATTTCCGACCAGAAGGAAAAGGAAAATAAAGCCTGCTACGGACGAAACTTATTTTGAAGACTCGACTTTGATGGAACTTAAAGATTGAGAGTTCGAAGGATGGTTCCATATAGATGCTGGTTGAATTCCAGCCATCGATACAGTTTCCTTCCATCCTCATCACGCACTTCGACATCAATCAGCTTCCACCTGTCATGCAGGTGAGAACTCCACTCGAATCCTTTTGCTAACATCAAGACATCCCACAGATTCAGTCATCATCTCTTGTCCTTTCAAATTCTCCTTTGGACCGGGTTTAACGTGGCTTGTGCTACTCTACAGCCAGATCTCTCCGACTTTGGTATGTAAATCGCGCCGTCCTACTAGCTCACTGACAGAACTCAGGCCCTTGACAAGTCGGTGTTAGCTGACATTAATCAATAGTGACTGAAACTTGTGAGTTTTCCAATCTTTTCGGTCTTCGCTAACCAGAACAGCGAGTGGACCACATTCGGACCACAACGGCTGAACTTCGAGGAGGTCAACTTTCAACGTACGTACGCCCTCTCTCCCCTCTTCTGCTGACTTGGACAGTAATTTAGACCACCACCTCTGGAATTCGATCCTATTCCTTCGAATTCGAATGTGAGTTTCCCACATATCTTTCAAGACTGCTAATCATAGGCTGTTACGAACGAAGCCGATCACCGCATGTGCCTCAGGCTCTAATTCATGAGTCACCCTATGTATTCCTCTTCTCATTACTAAACAGATCTAGAGCACAGTGTCCCCGTTCCGTTCCGTATCCGAATGAAGTTTTATTTGTAAGTCCTCCCTCTCTCATCACGCTAACATTCCCAAGAGACGTACTAGCTTAGCCGAGCCATCCATCATCATCTGTCCTGTAAGTATCCAACTCCCCCTTGTTCAAAGCTAACCACAGGGCATCGCCCATCACATCCCATCGTGTCAGACCACAAGTGTCGCCAGGGTAACAGTAAGTCTTCCCACCCCCCTTTAACACGCTAAGATCCAAATTCCTCCAGGTCTCCTACGGCGAGTTATCTGATACCCAGGCGCTATGGCGATAAGCAGGTAAGCACTCCAGCCCCTGATGCTGATGCGCAAGTCTAGAACCAGACACCACACCACCAGATACTTACGTATTGACGACCAAGACACCACAAGGTTCCGCAGAGTGAGTGTACGGAAGACCAGGCAAGTTCCCCTATCCCCGGAAGTTGTCGGCTGACGCAGTAGCCTAGACGGCGGATCCCCTGAGCCCTCGAGACGAAGAACACGACAGCTTCGAAGCCGCGGACCGAACAGACCCGTGCTACGACGGCGATCGATGCGACCGATGCGAAGCCGGCCGATTCCAGCGAGCGAAGTTACATGAATAATGACAAACAATTTGCAAGAGCCGGAAATTTATTTCCTGTTGTCGTGGTTGTTATCACAGGGGTTGTAGATGTGCATGTTTGTTAGTCAAGGGGGACTTACTCAGACTTAAGCAATCTGTCAAGGCCAGGTCAAAGAAGATGATGAGCGAAGGGAAAGGTTGGGAAACGTTTTCCAAGTCCGTCCCTTACAGCAGACTGCGCATCATCATAACAGCATGGATCACGGGACGCGTACGCTCTTTGTTACCAAATTAAAGATTCATCTCAACAATATGCTGATCAATCAAAGCGAGCAAATATCATTACCTAACGCCGTAATCTTACACAAAGCCCTAGCAAGATATCCCTTTGAGGCCGTAACAGCCATTATTCATTTCGTCATAGCCAGTTTAAAAGAACTTGCTCTTAAGCCCTCCCAGGACCACGTTCCTCTTCTGCTTGTTGATGTATTTACCAACATCGTCCGCCCACCCCTGGCTCTGGTTCTGTAAACTATCCATGTTATCGCTCATGATGTTCAGCTTCTCCGTGCGCTCATTAAGCTGTCTCGTCAGATAATCGCCCCAGCCTTCATTGGACCCTCCCGCGTTACTTGAGCCGGGTTGGCCTGCAGAGCGAGCAGCTCTCGCTTCAGCCGCCGCGGCAGCCATCATCCGCCGGCTTGGCGGGCGGTTGGGGTCGATGAGGAGGTCGAGGTCAGTTGGAGAGATATGCTGCGTGCCGGAAAGCCACTGCATGTTCGAGATCGTGGGGCGCGGGGGCGTGACGAGCTCGGGGTTGACGAGGATGTCGTCGCTTATCTGAAGATCTTTGCCAGTACCCCAAACATTGAGGACGGCAATCTCACTGGGGCCAGTCCAGCCGAAAATGTCGCCAGTCTGCGTCACTACGGACGAGAGAGTGCGACTGCCATCGAGCATGGGGAGCGGCGCGTGGCCGATTTCCTTGAGACCAGGAATGGAGAATGCACGAGTCGTTCGATCACCGAAAACACCGACAATGGCAAAGCCGTGGAGCTCGAACTCAGTGACGTTGGCTGCATCGCAGAGCATGTCGTCAAAGGTTTTGGAAGCGCCCTTACCGCCAGCGGGCTTGAAGATTCGAATTTCGGTTTGTGTCACTAGTGATTTGTCAGTGTCAGACATCGCAAAAAGTGTCGTATCCAAGAGGCTTACCAGCAACGAGCACACCATTAACCTGCTGCCCGTTTCTGAGTCCCGCTACAATCGGACCTGTTGCAAAAGCAGGTCTTCCAGAATCTGCTTGGATAGGGCAGAGTGCCACTACCTGGCCGTCAAAATGCTGGACGCCAGCTAGCTTGACAGAGTAGCTATTGCCAGACGGCAACAGCTTGAATGTGGCCACTTTGCCGAGGTTCGTTCCCACAAAACAACAGATACTAGAGTAGTTGTCGCCTTCCAGCGTCATGACGCTGAACTCAATGGCCACCGGCCACTCCTTTCCATGCGCGTTCCCATGAGACCCCTTCAAGAAAGAAGATCTCTTGGATTGCTGAGCAAATTCAGTCATGGAGATTTGAAAGATGACAGAGGGACCACGCAAGTCGATTACACTGAAGAAGCCACCCTCAGAGCCGACGCCTACGAAGCCCACGTCTGAGACGCAAACGGCCGTGATAGGACCTTGCATCATCTCGTACAGTTGCCATGGCTGCAGCCCCTCCTTGAGGCCGGGCTCTGCTCTTGAGCTGATGTCCGTCAGCGCTCCCGGGTTGGGCGGCAAATCTTCATGGTGGTCTTTTCCAAAGAACCGATTGCCGGCCCATCTGTAGAGAACCAACTCACCCGTACGCGTTCCGACCGCGAATTCGCCAGTGTTCGGGGCCATATTCATCGCGGTGATGTCGATGTCTTGGTAGCGGTCCAGTGCGCGTGCCACATCAACTTGCAGCATGGTTGGGTTCTCAATCTCATCATCATGACCGGCATCCCAA